AGTGTTAGAAGGTGGGAATAAACGAACCACTTTAAACTTCATTTCCGAGTGGGATTATTCCCATCCTCTCAGTCAGCCGCATGATAATGAAGGCAGTAGCCATGATAAAAAGTGGAGATGCTGCACCCACTTTATATTACAGAACACAACAGTGTGATGCAATCAGAGGGATAGCGGCCTTAATGTGGTCGTAGCCACAGGCCAATTCAAAGCACCTGCAGAGCTTCAACGACAGGATGGCTTCTTCGCCCATCCAGAATCTTATTCCAAGTAATTAGAAAGTCTATTGACCTTGGCAATGTGCCGCAAGAAAGACTGCGGGCTGAATTACCTTTGTGTCTTGCAAAGTATCGTCCCAAAACGATGAGAAGACACAACATGGCGAAGACCACGACGGCCACCACTCCTCCGATAACCGCATGGTCCAATCTCTGTGCTTCTGGTCCTGCTTGTGAATCTTGACAGAAAAGAGTCAAGAGATGATGTGTTACTTGCAACAGAATCAACAAACAGAAGATATAACACTGCATATGAAGCCTGTTTATAATGTATAATGAAAAAAAAAAAATTTAAACAAATGGCCAAGTATAACTAGTTTTATTTTTTTGCATATTGCAAGTTTCATTTCTCAAGCAAATTTGTGGTTCTTTATAACATTTTAATGTGATAATTTTCCTATTTTAATTTCAAAAGTCTGGGTCTGAATTTGGGTAAAACAATCAAATCTATAAATAAAAGGCATCTTCAAAGTAGCAAATATAAATAACAGAGGAATGGTAAAATGTTTCTGAGACATAACATTCACATAACATAATAGAAAAAGTTGAAATCTGTCCATTTTAATAAAAATCGACCCCTGGGAACACCCAACAGGGAAGAGAGCATGTGATCTCCCTGCTACATCTCATGGTCTATGTACTGTTTTATCAGTCTACAGGCTCATCCCCACTCCAAACATCTCACTCGATAAAAAAACGTGATGAGAAGGCAAAGGAAGCGTGGGGAAGGATGTCTCGCCTGAGCAATCCGACGCTTGGTAATCCAGTCACGAGGAGTTGATCAGCCTTTCCTGTTTACCCACGGCAATCTCCCGCTCTCATCTGTGGCCTGAGCCCGAGAGCTGAGGGGATTTCCTGGGGGAGTTCAAAAAACAAAAACGGCAGGCCACAACTTATTAGAGGATAACGAAAAGCGAGAAAGCACAGAGCGGTGTGCTTGTACAACATCCCACCCAATCTCACCTCATAAACAACTCCTGTGTGAGAAGGGTGGGGGTGGGATGTAAGGATGATGCTGTGGCGCTAACTGCCAAACCCAACAAAACATGACTTGATAAACCTAATAGGCTATTTTGACTTCAGATTTCCCTTTTTCGGAGGGAAGGCAGATTCAATTAAAGTCAGAGGGAATCGGCTTGACACCTAATTCACGCTTGTCAAAAGGAAGGGAGGGGGCTAAAGACGTGCTTTAACACACATTCCTATTAAGATGTTAATGTGTACTGGAAGAAGGGATAAACAGACTAGGAATGGCAGAGATCGCTCTTCCCACATCCACTTTGTTGCAAGATACTGTTGCCGGTTTGTTGTCTGCTTGGGTCATTCGGTCACTGAATGGATTTGATAGAGATTAACATAATTTAACAAACGGAGTGAGGAAAGGGACAGGACTGTATGTTCCCATCCAGCTTCAAGTCTTTTTAATGTCCTCTTTCTCCTTTCCACCCTCTACAGCCTGAAGATAAATGAAGGGGTGTTCGGAGCTGAGCCAGGGCAATGAGAAAGAAGATTGAGGCCCGCGATCGCACCACGTTCGAAGGTGCGCTGGTGTGCCGGGCTGCCCTTAACACAATGACTGCACCGTAATTCAATAAGAGTCCACTGTGAACCAACAGTTTGGCTAATGTCTAATTCGAGAAGCAGATGGTTTAGAAATGAGTAATTCTCAAGCAACCTCCTCTAATCTCAGCAGCCATTTTGCCTCCGGAATATTCAGTAATTCCAAGAAATTGCCATCTTAATGAAACCCTAGAAATTTGCTCTCATCTCAATTTGACTAGACGGAGTCATATAATTACATGTATTGCGTGGTGCTTATGGAAGAATCATTACCATAAACAGTATTCCTGTTTAACGTTTATGACTGCAGAATAAGAGACCAGAATATGCAATTACCCAGTCGGATAAGTGAGGGAAAGCGTGAGTGAGTGAGTGTAGGAATGATTAACTGAGGCTAGATGGAAAGCATATGAACGTTCTCCAGAAAGTGGCGAGAGCGAGTGCCATCGGGCACTGATAAAAGCCGACTTTGATCTGATCCGAACAAACTAGGTCTGAGATGGGGTCCGATTTTTCGGCATTGGCTTTTGTGGGAAGCTCATCCAAGGTCAGCACTAAAGGATAACTTCAATTTGGAGTGTGCCGTTGTATCGTACTGCACCTCCAGCTACTACAATGAATCGCTAGTCAGATCTGACACTCATCCAAGAGTACATGGTCTCCAGTTTCTGAAATACCTCTCCTGTGGTGAAGGAGGATTGCTGTGAGCTCTCAGGGTTCACACCTTAGGCTGCTGGAGGTGGTGTTGAGGAATATGAGACAGGAGAGAGAGAGAAAGAGAGAGAGAGAGAGAGAAAGGAAAAGAGCTTCATCAGTCTTGAGACGATGCACTAAGCATTCTTTTTTGCTTGAAATGGGGCAAATCACCTGGCTGGAGTGGACACCTTCTGCCAAACTACAGTGAGAAGACATGATGAAAGATCCTATCAGCTTTGCTGTTCCCGCTGGACAGTTTCCCCAGCAGAAATGATCATTCTTCGCCAGCTGATCTACAAAAAAACTGAATATTCTCTCATTTTGCACTGCTGCACTCTAATCCAGTTACGTTAAAATTAAGTTATCACATTCAAACACGCAGACCATTATGTAACTTTTCATTAGATTCCCTGTTTCTTGCCTCAACGTAGTTTACAGCTTTGGCTTGCAAATTGAAAAGAATATCTAATCTAACACCTCGGCCTCCAGTTTTGAGGAGTATCTAAAAGTAGTGACATAACTAAATTGACTACATTTTTCAGTAGCTGAGCTGCTTAAACAATACAGTTGCTTTTCTAGTCACATGCTATTTTCACAATGAGCTGAATACATAGCCACATACATATATCATTATATAACTAAATAAATTGTCATTTATAAACGTATATATTTATAATCACAGTAACTTTTTGTTATATAATTTATAAATAAAAAATTATTTATGTAATGTAGTAATTATGTAATTATGTTATGTTATATACTGTATGTAAAAATATCTTGCCTACCTTAAATACCTTAAATGTAGATAGTTAGTACTTGTTAATATAATTAAATTATTTATTCATAAAATTATATATAATAAAACTTGTGATGTTTTTTTTATTATTATTCACTGAGCTAATCTTAGAGTACATTAGTAAATATAAGAAGAAACGTCTAGCTTTGCGGTCTCTCTCTCTCTCATTTGGATGCACGTCTTGCCACATTGTTTCAATCTTATAACCTCATTTCTCACTAATAACCTAACTGAAGCAGCACATGCCCTTGATACGAATTCTAAAAGTGACCTATGTTTAACTGTCAACTTGAGCTTTGAATCCGTGGCAGAAGGAAGTAGTTTCGCACAAAAGAGGGTTTTATTAGGCACTCCGTTGTTTCTTGTTTAATTACACACATGTTCCGTCGAACTGTTGTATAAACGCAATATCACTCTCGTACTCGAGTGATATTGCTCATATATATATATATTGTGACGAGTGGGGGCGGGGTCGAGAGCCGCGTGGGAACGGAGCAAGGCCGGTGGAGTAACTGATAATGAGCGACACCTGCACCACTCACCGGTCTCGAGTCTCACGGAGGAGCTCCGGAAGAATAAAAGTGAAGAATTGACGACAGTGTCGGAGGAGAGAGGACCAGGCCTGGAGTTTATTTTGTGTTTTGGTTTCGTTTGTGCGCGACAGTCGTCCGCGAGGGGATGAACTTGCTGCCGGCCGCCTGGGATGTGGAGGGACAGCTGCCGTCCGTGAAGGAGCGGAGGAGTCGCCGCCGTTCGCCTGAGGCCGGAGCCTGCTGCCATCCGCCATGATGGGGAGGAGCAGGGAACGGGGGACTCCTGCCGGCTGCCCGAACCCAGAGGAGCTGTCGCCATCCACCGGGTGGCGGAGGAGTGTCGAACCGCCCACCGAGGGCTATCCAGCGCCGCCGCCAGGCATCACAGAAGAGTTTACCCAGCTGGTGGAGGGCCGAGCGGCAGTGTGTCTGGGAACCGGAACAAGATTTTTTTTTCCCTCTCTCACCTCTGTCTCTCCTCCTAACCCGGGAGGAAGGAGGGGCACGCTGCCAGAGATCCCTCGCCGCTGGGGTGAGTCCGCGGTGCCATCGAGTATGGCGGAGCAGTCTGCCGCCATGGACGCTCGAGGCGGGGGGCTGCGACAGTCGTCCGCGAGGGGATGAACTTGCTGCCGGCCGCCTGGGATGTGGAGGGACAGCTGCCGTCCGTGAAGGAGCGGAGGAGTCGCCGCCGTTCGCCTGAGGCCGGAGCCTGCTGCCATCCGCCATGATGGGGAGGAGCAGGGAACGGGGGACTCCTGCCGGCTGCCCGAACCCAGAGGAGCTGTCGCCATCCACCGGGTGGCGGAGGAGTGTCGAACCGCCCACCGAGGGCTATCCAGCGCCCCCGCCAGGCATCACAGAAGAGTTTACCCAGCTGGTGGAGGGCCGAGCGGCAGTGTGTCTGGGAACCGGAACAAGATTTTTTTTTCCCTCTCTCACCTCTGTCTCTCCTCCTCCTTCCATCTCCTTTTCTCTCGCCTCGTCTGTCTATCCTTACCCCTAGGTACGTCGTGGCCGTCGTGATTGGCTCCCCCGGAGGGTTAGGAGGGGGGGGGAGTAGAGCGCAGTCTCGTGGGTACCCCCCGGCCTGCGAGGGGCGATGGGGGTATGTGATGAGTGGGGGCGGGGCCGAGAGCCGTGGGAACGGAACGAGGCTGGTGGAGTAATTGATAATGAGCGACACCTGCACCACTCACCGGTCTCGAGTCTCACGGAGGAGCTCCGGAAGGATAAAGGGGAGGAGTGACGACACCGTCGGACGAGAGAGGACCAGGCCTGGAGTTTATTTTGTGTTTTGGTTTTGTTTGTGCGCGACAGTTGTCCGCGAGCGGCTGTCGCACTGTTTTGTGTTTGTTTATTTTATTAAAGTTTCTTTGAATGTTCCCCGGTTCCCGCCTCCTTCTTCCCGAACTACGAACTTTGCTACATATATATATATGCTGACCACTTTAAATATCTACAGTTAGCTACTTGTTACTAGCTTGAATGGTTGTTACTTTTTTAAATGAGTAATATTACAGTAGTTTATCCTACATCCAATAATTCATCCTCTAAAAATTAAAAAATCCCAACTGTGGGATTGCTTCAGTTT